GAGCTGAAGGGGCGGCGGGTGCTCGCGAGCAAATAGAGAAGAAGGGAGTGGGGGAGGAGGAAGAGGAGGGCGGTCCTGGATGAGGGACCTGTGACAGAGTGTTTTCCTCCCTCTCTCTTCGGCATCTTTACTGGAAAGGCGTCGGAGGGTCAAGGGAGGGGGGGGGGGTCATGTGAGCGTTTTTTCTTTGTGCCATACCATTACCAGATTACTTATTTTGTCCCCTCGCCGGTTTGCTTTTTAGTTTTTGCCATCTTCCTTTCTTTTTTTTTTAATGCGCCACTGATTATAGAATTGCAGAAGGAGTTGTGTGTGTGAGTTGTGGAAAGGAGGGAAGGAGGAGCGCGGCGGTAAGGTTTTGTGTAGCTTGGACTGACAGCAAGACCTATCTGAGGGATTGTTGTGTGCTCGCCGCATGTTTTTCTTAGCATTTATACACTAAGGCGCCATTATTTATTTACGTCGTTTGATCAAGATATTTTCTCTCTACGACCTTTTTCTTTCTGGTGTTGCTATATGTATGTATATGCATATATATATATATATATATATATATACAAATATATGTGCTTAGCATCATCAAATTTGTTATGTAGCGTAGTATTCCCCTTTTGTGTTGTTCTTGTGCTATGTGGGAAAACTATTTTTCCTTCTTTTCCGTTTTTTTGCTGTTAGTGCTTGACGTTTCATGAAGGTTTTTTCTCATTCTGTATGTTAAAGAAAAATATACAGGCCTTTTAGTGGTTTCTTTGTTGGCGAGGAAATTTATTTTCCATGTCTGTACAGCATCAAAAAATCGGAGTAAAGGGATCAATTGAAGGAATAGAAGTAAATAGAAAAGAGGGGGAACTATTTATACTCCACATTAAAAGGATTTATTTATTTCTTCTCCTTTAGTTTCTTCCCCCTGCACATTCTTGAGACTTAATGAGTGTGAACAAAATGAAAGGGTTTTTAGTAATGTTTTTTTCTTTGATGTCGTATAATATCCTTCTTTACTGTATTTATTATTCATTCTTTTGATTTCACAATTCTCATATACTTGCTTGCAAAAATTACTAAAATGCGAAAAAGTACTGCTTTAAAATGTTTTACCTTTTATTTGGTGCCATTGCCCATTTCAATTACCCTTTGTATAGTGTATTAATCGACTTGCCAACGCAGGAAGTAGACTTTCTTCCCTGTGCACCAATTAAATGTGGCCTCGCGTCCTTTTGTATACTTATGGACCCGCGGGGATTTCGATATCAATGCACGACTCCTTAAAAGAACTATACAAAGTTGACTTGTGTGGTTTGATGTTTGTTTTTTTTTTGTTTAGCTTTCTCACTGAAATGGAGAAATAATGGTGATGCTTCATTTTTTCCTCTTTAACTACGCTTTAATCGTCGATGTGCTCATTTTCGTCTGTATCGTGCCGCTGGGGCATGGGATTGTAGTATGGTCCAGTGTTGCTGAACTAAGTAGCAATAAAGTGGATTAGGCAACCTTATGGACATCCTTCCCCAATAGTCTGACATAAATAGTACGTTTATATTTGGAAATCATCTCCGTGCCCATTCTTCTTATTTTTTCATTTTTTTCTCCTTCCACTATTCTTCAGAGAGGTTTAAGCTTGGTCCTCAATTGCGATTTCTGCCACCTCCTAATAAATTAAGGAATACATTACATTTTTTTTGTTGCATTTAGGGTTAAGCGAACAACTACACTAAGCTATGCAAGGTAACAGTAATAATAATACCAACTCTGCCAGAGTGCGCAAGTCTCCCAGCCCTGGGGGTTCTAGACGTACAAGTCCGGGTAGTAACAGACGCACGTCGGCTGGCCGTCGCTCACCTAATTCATATATTGAGCGCACCACCACTGTCCGATTTGTGCAGGCCTCCACTCGCCGCATATTATGTACTAAACTGAATCGGGTCCAGCGCACGAAGTGCAAGATTGAGGATAATGTTATTCTGTGTGAGAACTTTCTCAAGGGGCATTGCGAAAGTGGCAGCAGTTGCATGCTAGCGCACGTCCCTAATCACTACCTTTGGGAATTCCTGACCCCACGCGTTGATCCGATAACCTATTTGTACCACCCAGGCTTCAACATCCGTTGTTACACCCCCAACATGGATGCATACTATGACATTCCCAGCGAATGCGTCCTCCAGACGCATGGCAGTGATCGCTACATAATGCAGTTCAACGACAACGGGGACAACTTCCGGGAGAAATACCGACTCTGCGACACGCTGCTGAGCACTGGGCATTGCTCAAATGGGTTGAAGTGCGAATATGTGCATTGCTGCGTTGCTGACATGTCCTCGTTTCCGTGCATCCGCACCCACATCGCTGACAGCGAAGCGGTTAAAAATTACGAGCGGCTCCCGAACAACATTATGGTGCGCGTGTTTCAGCCAAACAGCGGAGACGAGGGGCAGGAGTTCCCCGGCAATGATGTGTTACGTACTGCTGGAGCTACTCAGTACGAGGAGGCGTATAACAGAGAGGGCAATGTACCATCTGTTAAAATGCAGCACTGTGCGCACTTCCAGAACAAGAAGCTTTGCCGTCTGGGTGATGGCTGCCGATTTTTGCACGTCGTGTCCATGGCCCTGTCGACCCCCATGGAAGAGGAATCGGGGGATACTTCGCCATATCAAACTCCAGTCGATAAGGACAACATGAAACAGCAATTCGCCGCTCAGGCTAACAAGAACAACGCTGCCTACTTAGCTGCAACTGTCATGATCGATGGCATGATGGAGAATCCAGTGAACAACTCGCTCACCCCGTATTACCTGGCTGCCAATCCCATCGGCTACGACTGCGGCGGCAGCAAAACGAGCTCCACGATGACCTCGCCGAGTATTCTCCCGAGCGCCTCGGCGAACGCGGAGATGATGCAGATGGGTGGGGTTCTGAACAACGCTGCGACCGCAGTTTTGCCGAAAGACGTGCAGATCGGGGACCGCCGTTCACCGGTGCGGCGCCACAACCCCTATCTGAGTTCCTCCATCGAGATGGACAATAAAACGGACTGAGGCGCACTATAAAAGAATGAAGGAAATAAATAAAAGGCTATCTGAAGAAAGGGGAGCCCCTCGCACGAGGTGCGGGCAACAGAGAACATTAATCAAGCAATAATACCGATAATAATGAAGAAGAAATGCAACGAGATATTGCCTAGAGTTCCATGTGGGAAAAAAGAAATGCTTGAGCATATTGGTTATCATCCCGCTCCTTTCTTATTTATATGGAGTGTTTGCCAATACTCAAATCAGATATGGAGAAAAGAGGTTAAAAGATAAACGAATGCTAACAGTACATTTACTTTCTTTATCTATTTCGTACATTACTTTTCCCCATTATTTGCCTATTTCTATAACCCAAAACATCCCTCCTTTAATAAATGCTTTTTTTGAATAAATGTGGATGACTGTTTTTGCTTGCTTTTCATATGTTCAGCTCTGTGTATGAAATGATCATTCCGCTCAAAGTTTTCTGATATTTTATTTGTTCATATATTGGCTTCTTTTTTGACAGAAGAAAAATCGAACGTGCTACATTTTTTAATTATTCGGTGAAGAACAAATACACGCTCACATAGGTAAAAACGACGGCTCCTATTGATGCGATTAATCTTCTATCTTTTGCTTTTTATAGTTCCTAGACTAAGTAGTATTTCTTTTTCTATTATTATTATTAGTATTTAAAGATCTACGAATTTATTATTTTTGTTTCAATAAAGCTTTCTTTCTCCTATTCAGCTATGACTTTGCTATTATTTTGGAATGTGGATTTGCGTTTTTCGCTTTACTCTTCCTTATCATTTTTTAATTCGACTTCCTTTTTGCTTTAAGTCCTGTTTTAAAGCAGAAGCCTTGATGTGTTGTATGTTCTACTCTATAGCTAACTCAGTGGAAAGAAAATGACATTAATGCAACACGTTCCTTATATTTGGTATCGGATAGTTGTTTAATGGTCCACATTAAATCAAGCCATCCTCGCTAGGGTTCGATGAACGCTTTAATGCATTCTTTTGACTTTATTTCCATTGAACCAGAAAAGAAAATGAAGGTGTTGTAAAGGTTCAAAAGCACGCATCTGAAGCTTAAATGGAAGATAATACAGACGAAAAATTGATCAGTTGTAAAGAGAAAATTGCCATATATTTTTATATAATCTGTTACTCTTTTTTATCTTGACGATTTTCCCTCGCAGTGTCCGAAACGTTATTTTTATACACATTATTTATTCTGAAACGGCGTCCTTTTAATTTTAACTTTGTTTATTATGTGCATATGTAGTGTATGCATGTATATATTGTGGGCTCCTGGAAAGGTGTGCATTATAAACAAATAAATCAGGACCGTTTTTAATTACAGTGATGAGTTAGTCATTACTTTTGTATACAAATGACGTAGGGGAAAGCCACCTTTTTATGAGTAATTTATTATTTTCCTAAGACATCACATAACTAATAAATCCCTTTTATGACTCATTTTTCTATCATCTCTTTCCTACAATCTTTTTAAAAAGTGTTTTACCTTTTACTTTCCCTCTCTTTGAATTTTTTCTGTAGTGGCTTTGAGCTGTTCTTTAGAAAATTGAGGAACGCCTCCGTTTGCGTGTAAATGAAAAAAAATGTATAAACACAAATGTCATTTCCTTCATTTTCCCTTTAATCACAGCCAAACAGGCCTGTTCTTGCGGAAATAGAAGAATTCAGAGTTTACAGTAACAACGTTGGGAAAATCAAGGAACTTCAAAGTATCTGTTCACCTGATTTATAAAAGACAATCAACAAAAAAATAGTGTCGAGAAAATTTTTAATTCCTTTCTCTTTTATTTTTCACATCGACAATAGTTTCCATTCTGTGGGTATTTCTATAAACATTTCATTTTCCCCCATTTTCACGTGTATGCAATTAGCGTTGTTTACTTAATTTCTATAGATACGAATTTTAAATTGTATTACAATAAGGTTTGTCAATTCCTATTCATAAAAGACACATTCTATAACTGCAATTAGAGCTTTTTTGCTTTTGGATTTATTTTAAAAAAATTCAATAAAAGAGACTCATTTCTTCGTTATCTTCAAATGGTTAAAAAAAGAGAAATGAAAGTGTAGCCATACATATGTTCATTTTATCTACTGATTTAATTGTGATGCTTGTATCTTGTTTAAGCTTTTCTTTCAACCGTTTAGACAAGATCATTTTCCATTACCATTTATATTTGCGAGTATATTTATATTTCATTCTGTGATACACTCATCTTTTGCTATTAGCTTGTATGACATCACTCTTTCAGTGCCTTAACATATTGAAAAGGTACTGCAAGAATTCTTTATTCCTAATATGATAAATAATGGGAAAATTTGAAATAACCTCTTGCAGGGTAAATATTGTGCCCACTTCATGTTGACATGTGAGGATTCCATTAGAGCTGGTTGCTAGTTATAAATTCTGTTCACTTGTGCTTCCATTTTTTTTTCATGTCTTTGCGTAAGGATGAGTTTTTTTATATCAAATAAAGCATTTCTTAAGATCTTTGAATTAAAAGTAATTCGATCCTTTAGTTACTTTGTTGTTTGTTCCCCTTTTAAAAAGGGAAAGTAAAAGAAATTGATTAGGCATATTCTTAGATCTGAGTATATTATTAAAGGATAAAGATACATTCTTGTCTACAAATTTGTTCTTTCATATCCCTTTATTTTAGGATTTTGTGGCTTTTGGTGTTCTGTTTTTTCTCTTTCTCTCGTTTTGATACCGACCCCCGGAGAGGCGGCACGATTGAGACGAAAATAAGTAGCTTATCCATTCTCTTTTCTTAACACATCTTCACTTTACACTAATATTTTTGTACAACCCCCAGAGGATCGTATAGCATTTATACACCTGAAAGAATATAGGAAATAATATTGACCTGCAGGGCACATTCTGTATATATCTATAAAAAATCATAGATATATACATATTATATATATCCATATATAAAGTATTCTTTATATTTACATGTTCCAGCCGATGGATATAGCTAACGGTGGTAGTCAACAAGTGGTGATTCGGAGCAACCAATCCCAGCAACAACAGCAAACACCCCAGATGTTCACCCCCCAGTACGGCTACCAGCAGCAGCATTCCTACTTCGCGACCTACCCTAATGCGCCAAACAGCGGCGCGTCCTCGGCGCCCAACAAAGGTGATATGAACTTCGTCGCACAGCAGCCCTCCCCGTATGTGCAGCAACAGCACCCCGTGCTCTCGTATAGGTACACACAGGAGATGCCCAACAGCAATCAGTACATCAACCCCGTCCGTTACCAGCCAAATCAAGACAATCAGCGCCTTCTCACGTCGGTAGGGTACGTTACGGGCAATAGTGGGCAGGAGGGGTTTCAGATGCCCTCGCCGCCTCAGCAGCAGCAGCAGCAGCAGCCTCCGCATCAACTGCCAAACCAGCAGCGCGGCGGCCGCGGTCGCGGTGGGCTTGGGGGTTGCGGCCTCAACGGCTCCCAAAACGGCAACGGCAACTTCATCCCGTACTACAGACAGGTGCACAATAACTACTATTACAATCAGCAGCACCACTACAGCAACAATAATGCCGTGCCGGAGAAGACTCCAACGCTGCACGTGCTGAATCCCACCACCAAGAAGGTGATGTGCGTCAAACTCAACCGCATCTACTCCACCATGGCCGACCTCCACTTGCACCCGAACCAGTCGAACCAGAATGAGAATAGCAAGGAGACGAACTCTTCGGCGAATAACCAGGAGGATTCAACCTCAAACACCCCACTGATGCTGTGCGTGGACTTCTTGAGCCTGCGGGGCTGTGCGCACGGTAGCGGCTGTGAGAAGGTCCACGTTGCGGGCTTGGAGTACATGTGGAGCCCGATAGAGCCCTCTATTGTGTCTAAGGATGGGAAGGAGATATACAAACCTGGCTTCCGAGTCCACTGCTACGATTCTGTTTTAACCACCTACTATGACATCCCGTCAGAAATTATTGAGGTGACTCGAGGTAGCGAAACCTATGTGGAGATGTTCAACGAGCACAGGGATAACTTCAAGACAAAGATAAAGTTATGCCCCTCCGTGTTAAATGATGAGACATGCAAGAAGGGTAGGGAGTGCCCTAATATTCACTGCTTGTCCAAGGAATTCGCCGAGGTCCAGGAAAGGAACACCCGCTCCACCCACATCAACCACCCGCCGCACATGAAGGACGTGCCACGGCTTCCTGCCGATATGATTGTGCGCGTTTTTGACCAGAACAGCGATAAAAATTACCACGACTACCCCGGTACCAACGTGCTTATTACAGAGGGTGCCAAGAACTACATTAAGTACTACGAGCGAAAGCTCCACAACATTCCCTTCTGCAAGAGAATGCAGCATTGCGCGCATTTTAGATTGAAGGAGATGTGTCGCCTAGGAGCGTCCTGTCGCTTTCTCCACGTGTTGCCAACCCCAGAGGAGGTCCAAGAAATGCGAAACCATGAGGCCTTGGTACTTACCTTGAAAGATCAGACTGACCAGGGGCAAGTTCGTTATCTGTAAGTGTCGAAGTCGATTCATACCAGAGGTCCTCATCGTTGTGGGGAGGGGGGTTGGGGAGGGGAGCGGAGGCTGTATTTAATTGATGTTAAAGCCTGAAAAAGGTATAAACAGACGCGATATGCACATACTTCCCCGTTCCTTTCTACACTCCTAGAAGAAGTTGTCGTGATCTTGGGCGACGCGTTGAGTTTGAAACAATAGTTTATCGTTCCGAGAATTTAGTTTATACCATGCAGCCGCGTTTCGGTTTCTACTGCGATAAAATGTATTCCCTCCTGCAAAGGGGAGGGTAGTGCTATAGTGTTCTTACCTTTTAATTTATATTTTTATTTCCCCTATCTAGGTTTCTATGAGACTTTTGTTTCCTTTTTTTTATTTTAGGACTATTTTTTTTCTTAAAATATTATATATTGAAGTAGCAAAATGCTTGTAGTCTCAAGTGTGCTCAGAAAATATATTTTTTATCTAGTACGCACACAAACGGAGAAGCGTAGAAAGAGTGAAATAAGGCAAAAATCGATACAAAAAATTATATATACACATTTTTTTCGTTTATGTTTTCTTCATGCTTTTTATTTTCCATAATTCTTCCTGAGTGAAAAGTAAAGACTGTCAGAAGGAGTGAACTATATATATTCTTATATATATATATGTATAGTTTACACAAATGTTATGTAGACAGAGACCCAACATGAAAGGGTAAGCTATTTTATGTCCTGCAGAAGAGGGAGCCCCCCACGACTGCTGATATTAATATCATTACACCTATTCCTTTAGACAAGAATACTCTTTTTATCAATTCCTCTTCTTTTTACGTCTTTGTTCATTATTCAAAGATAAATATGCATGCTTTCAAAAGTGTTTGCCTTAAATCTAGAACAACGATTGGAAAAGTAAAAAGAAAACATGAATGTTACGTATTTCGGCGTGTTAGTTTATATGTTGTCATTCATGCCAAATTCGACCTTTTGGTGCTGATAAATTATTCTCTTCTTTTACCAGTAATTATTTTTCGTTTACTTCTATTTTATTTTTGACGATTTTCTTTTCTTTCAAACTCTGATAAAGGGCATGCTAATAAAGTTAATCTGTATAAATAGTGTAACACAAGAACGCGTGTGCATGTATGTTATTTATCAGAAGAAAGGGAAAAAGAATTGTTCTGTATTTCAAAAAAAAAATTGTCGCGTAAGAAACAGTATCTCTTTCTTGGAAAAACAGCAAAAAAAAGGGGAAGAAATGCTTTGAATCAGTACTCACAATGCAATTTTAAAGAAAAAGCATTGATTTATGAACCGACTTTATTGCCCAGTTCTGTCATTATTCCTTAATTGTAGTGTCTTCCAATGATATTTTTTCCTCTGACCTATGTTTTTCTAGGAAATAAATTACATTTGATACAGAAATGCCTTTCATCTTATGAAAGATAGCATATTTGATTTTACGCAGCCCCCTTTTATTTTTTATTGTTTTTTAGTTCTTGTTACGCTTTTTAAACACTTCGTTGTTTTCTATGGTATTGTTCTTTTTGTTGGTGTTTCTCCTACACGTTTAGCGAATTAGTCGAGTTTAAAAAGTGATCTGGTGTTCAATGTAATTTCTAACCTTGTGTTGAGAGGTGATAATAGAATGCACAGAAGACCTGGGTATGAGAAAACCAGAAATTGTGAAAATCTTGGCGAGCGAATTGGCATTTTGTTGTGAATGTCATCTTTCTATATATTTATTTTGATGTTTAATTTCTTTCTTGCATGATTACGGTATAGGGAAAGAAACACATTACTATCGTTATATTTTAAGGCAACTCACAACGATATATTTATCGCATAAGTGAATGTCCAGATGCCATTTTTTTCCCTGCACATGTGATAGCTTGCATGATTTTTTTAACGACTAATGCTATTTTGAGGGCTTCGGTTGCATGAGGATAAGGGTGCATTTGTTAAACACTGTGATGTTACTTACTAAAAAACAATCCCTTTTTTTTTGCTTATGAGTTTTTTTTCTTTCTTTTGATCCTCTGAATAATTTTAATGTATTATTTCTATATTTCTTCCTAATCTAATGTGTGTATTGTATAAAAAGGTATTATAATAAGTGAAGGAAATTAAGTGCACGATATATTGAACGAACTTTATATATATATTATTTCACTAAAACGCTTTTTGGAGTAGGCTGCTTGTACAAGGATAAAACCCTTATGCATACGCATATGCATATATTTATATACATATTATTTATTGAGCACATATCCTTACCAACATTTATACAACCTTGAAGCCTCCTCTGAGTATGCTTCGCGTTCTGTTAATCCATTTATCGCTGGGTGCAACTGATTACTTAGTTACAATTATGAAACCTATCTACCTGTAAAAAAAGTGAGGAAAGTTCCTTTGTAAGTCTCCAAAAAATATTTAATTCTTGTTAGCGCGTGCTCTACTTTCAGGCTTTCGCATCAGCAAATAAATAAAAAAAACGAAATAATACACCATCATTTTTTTTTCCGCCCTTTCATTAGTGTTTTCTGTGAAGCTCTCTGACTTATTTAACTTTGTTTATCTGTTTTCCTTTTCGAAGCAAACCCAAAAGAAGGCATTCTTCTTTTTTTTCTCTAGTTTTTTCTTTTTTATTAGTATTGCATTATATTATACCCATTCTTGCATTCTTACTTCACAACATGCCCATGACTCACGAGCCATCAGCGGAGTACGTGGTGCTTCGGGCGGTATCGGGACGCACCGCAAGGCTTTACCAGCCCCACACCTACTCCCACCTTCTAGAGGTGGCCGAGAGCCAGTTGGGCTATCAACGGAACAGCGTAAAGATTGTTTACAAAGGGGCCGTCCGAAGTGTGGCCGACCTCACCTCAACCCCCCCTGCCGAGGCTGGCGGGACGACTTCAAACCGCAGCCATGACCATACCCATACCAATTATAATGACAACAGCGACGAGAAGGACGCGCAGGGGCTGATCAACTGGGATTTAGTAGGAGTCCTCCCCACGGCACCGCAGGCATCGGTAGGGGGGGTCTCCCTCCGCCCCGCCTGTTCCCCAACGGCGGCCGCCTCTCCTCTTCCGCCACCACCTCCTTTTTCCCCCGATTCCGCGAAGGGGGAGGAGGGTGTGGCATCCAAAGTCATCGTGGTTTTCGGGAGGCCATCTCGGAGAAAAGTAGACGCGTCACCAAACGCACCGACGAGGGCGCGTGGGCGAGGGCAGGGAGGGGGTCTTCATCTTCTCCCCTCCTCCATCGGGGGCTCGACGCTGGTGATGCACAGCAACTCCAACTCTGGGGGGCTGATGTCGCCGGCGCTCGTTCCGGGCAACGTCGCGCCGGGGTTTGAGGGGCCGCTGCCGTACCCTCACTGCCCACACGGGCTTCAGGAGATGTTCACGATTGCTAACCAGGTGTGGGGGTCCGACCAAAACCTCTCCTGTTATCCGTGGGAGCTTTACGACCATCCGACGGTGCAGTTCATCGCATCGGAGGTCAGCGGGGATATCGGCAACCTCGAGAAGATTCTCAAGCAAATTCACGCCAGCTGTCCTTCTCTCTTTCAGTGGATTTCGTATTATCCTCGACGCTTCTTGCGTCTGATCAACCGCGAGAGGCCGGGTAACGAGATTCTCGCGCTCCGACACCTCGCGAAGGAGATGACCTGGGAGTCGGAGAACGGCTCCTCCTGGTGTCTGCTGCAGCTTCAGGATGGCTCGAACATCCATCATGTGAACATCGTCCTCGAAGTCGAGGGAAATGTTGAGGAAAACGCACTTGATGATGATGGGGACTGGCTAGGCATCTCCTGCGATGAGGAGAGCATGAACTTTGAGTTTGAAGTTGAAGAGGCGAACCTCGGATCGGATGGTGAGGCAAAGAATTCCACCTCTGAGGCAGACGAGTCTCACACGAGCGAAGCGGCACTGTGTGAGCCCGTTATGAAACCTGAACTGGTTAAACCCCACGGTGAGATTCCTCTCCTGCGGCCTGATGTGTCCACTGATCACATGGAAGGGCACCCGGAGGCCTTAAAATCGGTAAATGCTTTTACCGATGTGCACCACGGCGAGCCCTACATGGACGATGTCTCATCCCACGAGAAAGACGCACCCGTTTCACACCCAACGAGCCGGCTGTGCTCCTCGACGGAATCCGCCTCTAGGGCGGCGCGGGCCGAGGTGGTCTATCCAACGGGTTTGGAAAAATGCCACCCGAGTAAGACCCTATCAATGCCCCCACAACTGGGGGACATCATTCAGCAGAGCATGGAATCCCAAATATGCCAGATGCTCCATCTCATCGATTGCTATCTCAGCCTCGACGAGAACCAGAACCTCAACGACCTCCGAACCTTTCACAGCATGCTCCAAGATATTAGTGCCCAGATCATGGACGAAATCAGCACCGACCTGGCCTCTCCAGAAAATGTGGAGGGCTTCAATTGGATCACCCAAAAGGCTGGTGGGGTTTTCTTCCCTCGCGTCGAGGAGTTCTACCTTGAGCTCGCCAAGCATGGCGTCAACGGGGCGGTGTTTGGCTCCAACCCGGACGAATCCCTCGCGGCGTGGGCCTGCAAGGCGGCCATTCACCAGCAGCTCACCTGTGAGGCGGTGCGGCTTGCCGAGCTCAGCCACACGGAGGTCGCCCCGCCCGCGAACGATCTCAAGGAGGAGGAGCGCCAGCCTAAAAAAAACCCACTACGCGCCGGCGCGCTGCGGAACCTCCCGGCGGACTACTTTCCACTGATGAATCCCTGCGTTCGTTGGATTAGCGCGGCAGGCCCGTATTTACTCCTGCAGGAGCTCCTCGACACCTGTGCGAGGCAGGGCGGGAGTATGATCGTGTGGTACTCCAGCCACTACGCCCCTTCATCTTCTGGGGAGGGGCTGCGTAGCGTAGCGTACGTCCTTGGTGGGGTGGCTGGGGTGCGCGCGCGGCGACTTTCCATTACACCGGCCGTCTACGACGACTGGCGGGCCACCACGCTGCGTTGTCTGCGGGTAATTCGACACGCGAGCGGAGGCGGAGGGGGGGTGGGGGATACCATCCGAGCGGAGTGGCAGCGCTGCATGCGCGTCGGTTATCAACACTTCGTGGAACCTCTCCAGGGGCTGCTGCCGGCTTCCCCGCCCGCCTCGAGTGGAGGGGTGGTATACGTGATCGATACGCGGCTGCAGCCGGTGCCGTCAAACGACGAGCGCTTCGTGGCGGCCTCGGGGATCGGGCTGGGGATTTGGTTTGGTTGCCTTTGCGATTCCCAGCGGATTACGTGCATGGAGCGGTGGTGCGTCGCAACCTCGGCGTTGCCGTGGAAGGTGCAGCTCGCACATGAGGCGTTTCCTTACGTCTTTTCGGATACCGACAAGATCGCCCACGTTGTGGCGCTCACCTCCGAGGAGGGTGGCGAAGAAAAAGGGGGGAGTCCGTCCGAGTGGTTGTCGTCAGGGTTAAGAGAGCAGCTGCGCGTGGCGCAGGGGCCACTCAACGCGAGCGGGATCACGCAGAGCCACGCCATCGTTCTTCACGAAAGTAGCTGGAACCATACTGGGGTTGCGCGGACCTCCGGGCCTGAGGCGAGGATCTACCGCGCGTCCATATCGCATAACGGCCTCACGCCGCGCCTCGTTGGGGACTTGCATGTTGTCGATGATTGCAGCGGGGAAACAGGGGAGGTGGATCCCGAGGAGGTCCTTCAGAGGAATTTGGTGGACCTGTATACCTACCGAGCCACGCTCCTCCACACCATAGCCTTCCCTTCTCCCCGAAATGAAGATCATGGCAGCTTTTACAAGATGTTTTATGACAAGTTGTTTAACATTCCAAGCATGTCGTTAGCTGCTGCGCTGCGCGAGACGAATCTCGAGCGCATCCGGCGTCATCACGCGCCGTGGCTGGGGATCGAGCACGCTTTGTTTGATTACGGCGGTCCCCTCGAGTCGTGGGGTACCGCCGTGCATCACGCCGCCCGTCGGCAGTACGCCGAGTTCCACAATATTAATAGCATTTATGAACGGATGCTAAGCTGCTTGGTGGCGACCCGGCCACGCAGCGAGGCGGCGGTTCTAGATCAACTAATCCAATATGTGGAGAGCTCGCAAACGGAGCTGGAGCACCGAGAGAATGGCGGCGACTCTAGCACCGGCCCCACAATTGCCGTAACGCTATCGAACCCCACGACTCAAATCCGTGATTACCCCGAATTAACGCAAGTTCGCCCAGTGGATCCGAAAACAAGTACCACTGCAATGGGCACGACTGAGTCGAGGGCTCGTTTTTCACCGCATCCACCAGTGCAGGCGAAGATGAAGAGTGGCCGAAGAAATGCTCGCTACACTAAGAAAAAGTAGGACCGCAAGTGCGGGGTTTTGAATTAACCTTGTCAAGGCTCAAACTTTGCAACACCCCAAAGAAATACTATATTTGGGACTTTTACTATCACTTTATGAGTGATAAAACGTACGCTCAAGATGTATATTATGTCAGATGGATTTATCTGATACTTTTTTTTTTTACTTGCAATTCCATCCACTTCGTCCGGTACATTTCTTGACGGAGAAAATATAAACTTCTTTGCCCCTACGTTAGACTCTCAGGTGGTACCCATCTTTTGAAAAATTGGAAAAATATAAAGGTGAATAGGAGGTAATCATTAGGATTTATCTCAAGAAGTGTCGGTATGGAGGCTAAATATTCCATTGCACTCAGCAAGCCTTGGTATGTTTTCTTTGCCTTCTTTGTAAGGGTGTTTACAACTTTGGGATGTGTTTACTATATGTTTGTTCTAGTTATAACTGGGAATTATTTACGTTTTCGTTTGTTATGGATGCAAAAGGGAAATATATATGTGATCATTTGCATACTTGATTTAAACGATACATACTTTAAAACCTACGTCAAGATACCTAAGGGCCAAAAGGTGTTAGGAGGACAATGCATTTGCGTTGTACTCATAGTTCTGTCACCTGAAGTGAGTTTTTTCGAAGATGACGTGCACGCTCATACAAACATTCATACACATACATATATTTATATATACATATGGAGAGGAGAGGTATGTTGGGATACCTTTTTGATCATTCAATACAAGTGTCTTTCTTTTTTTTTCTGATACAGACGCTTTATATTAGTTATTATTGCTACTCCTTATGTAATGACTCTCGAAGCTATAAGCTTTTGATGTATGTATTCGTAAAACGGCTGCTGTTATATTTAGTTTGTGTTGTAAGCAGTCTTCCGTCCCTGTTTTTAGAGGTAACGAGGATTGGTCACTCTGCAACAAGACTCACATCGAGGCTTTTGTGAATGCCAAAAACACGAGTGAAATAAATTACCACGCATATATGTGGGAAATATTTTCTTGTTTTCCCGAGGATGCCCCCGGAGCAATCCTATTGTTTGGTGGTTTCAAGCAGGTCGGACACACGCGCACATGGTTCTAATAATTTTGGACGATACCCCCTTGCAAAGGCCGTCGGTGACGACCAACAGTTAGTGCAATCGCTCGCGTGAGATTTAACGGTAGCATTGATTTTTGTCATGCCTAGCTCACCATGTCCGTTTTTATCATGCTCACATGACTTTTACTTAGTAATTGGATTGAAACAAGTTAATTGGCTCTCATATCGCTTGCTATGCAGGGGCACAAAAGGGGTTGTTTTGCAATACGGAAAGTGTAAGATTTCACAAAAGATTGATAGTATGATTTGTTCTGCTCTTTCAAGAAAAATATGCAGAACCACATCAATGATTACTAGATGTTTGCATAAATTCCGAAAAACAGGTTTGCTACGAAACTGTTGCCAAGTTCTAATCTGTCCAGTGGATAAAACGTCGCGTACATTAAATTGCCATCCGTATCGTTTTATGGTTGTTGCTTGCAGAACCGACAGTGACCCTTGAATGGCCCTTGTTTAACCCTCTGAATTACGCCTTAACGTCGGATTACATAACACATGAAATTTTCAAGCAGTTATTTATCTTTCGGCTCTTTTTTGTTTTGATAGCCTTTTTTTGTAAAACTTCACTGTATTGGCTTTTTTCTTGCACACACGTTTACATTTAAACTTGAAATTATTAAATCGAAGCATAAATTTATTTTTGCTTGCATTAACCTAACCGATTGGTGTGTCTGTAGGATCTTGTGCAACATTGATCCTTAAGGCTTAACTATAGCTCTTTCCGGACGCATCTTCTCTACGTGATAATTTCCATCATCCATAAGAACATAAATGTCAGTTGAATTTAGCTCATTTATAGATCACTACATATTGCTTCTTGCGACGCGCTTTCCCGCGGCTCTGTCCTTGGAATCGTCCGAAAGCGATCGCAAGCAAGCATGGGAGTGGATCTCGGAGGCGGTGCAGGCCGTCATCGCAGTACCCAAAACCGCCTCGGAACGTCTGCAAGCTCAACATATTGATTCTTCCGCGTTCTCCCCTTCTATCTGCCAGACGCGCGCCGAGTACCTGATCTGGTTGCTTCGCCAGGAGCGGCAGTCAAAGCCGAAGGGCGCCCAGCGAGCCCACCGCGCTGGCAAACACGCCGTCCAGCCACCTCCAGGGGAGCCGGCTATTTTTACAGATCCATGCCTCAACCTAGAGGGCCCTGGGGCGGCTCCCCCGAGCTCCTTTGACGTCACGCAGAGCTCCACAAAAGCGCAAATAGACTCCATCTACGAGGCGATAAGATGCCGACTCCCCTCCAGCCTGGTCGACAACGAGGAGGACGACAGCGAGGAGGAGGGGATGCCCGATGACGAGGTGCCTGCCTCTGGTGGACCCCACGGCCTGCCTTCATCGGCCCCGAAGGGTGGGGCTCATGGGTTGCCCAAAGTCGTTGATATTCCAATGCGCAGCGAGGAGGAAAGTCGTCGCTACTACGCGATGGCCTCCGCTCGCAACGAGCTCCTCTCCCAGGTTCAGCAGTTGCAGTCCAACTTTTACGCGACCTACCACCGCTGGGCGGAGGTGCCGGGCTGTTTGGTCGACGACCCCCCTCCGAGGGCACCCCCGGAGGTGCGTGGCGACGTTCCTGAGAGGTCGAACGAGGGGGAACGCGAGGAGAAGGCGAGGCTGCTCGCCGATCTTTTCGGCCCCGCGGCGCCTCCACCGAGCTCTGCTTCCGACGCGATCGCCGCGCTGCGTCGCTCGGTGAAAGTGGAGCGCCCTACCCTTCGACCCTCACGGGATGAAGAGGGGGAAGGGGTTGCGAAACAACCTCCCTGCCACCCCCTCGATACGTCACCCCCTGGGATCTCATCCAAAGCCCTTAGACAGGCGCCCTTTTCGGCACCAGACACCTCGTCAGACAAATTTCAGAACGGCGGGGTTCGCTTAGAAACAAACGCGTCTTTGGTGGGGAAGCTACCCCATGCACAGGCAGCTAATGGCGTGAGCATCGCCCCACCGGATGCGACATTCACAAGAAACGTGATAACAAAAGAAACTATCCCCCCATCAAACCGTCGTGGGAGGTGGGAGATGGTTCAGTACGACGACGACAGCAATGGAGAGGAGTAAGGATGAAAAGGGGAACCAAAAGATCTTTTTTTCTTTTTGTGCTGTTGTTGTTCTCTTCCTCTTTCTTTTCCTTTGCCACAGCGTTCCTTTATTACAGTTGGTTGTGCTTCACAAAGAAATCTGTATTCCATACTATATGTATTTGCAGATGGCAAATTTAGGTTAATACTATCCTTTTCTGTTTCCTTCGAAGACAAAGCGCTTTAAAGCGTGGTAAAAGAGTGCTTATCGACAAGAAGCATTCCAGTTTCTCTTCTTTTTGTCATAGAGCAGAGCTTTTTTTAATTCTCAAATTTGAGCTACTCAGCGACGAAAGAATAAGATGGGATGGTATGGATAAATGTACATAAAGTCTTGAAGTATTAAGAGCGTAGCTCAAATGCAAAAGATAGCATTAAAAAGACGAATTATAAAGTAATTGGTTGATGTAACTTATTATTGATGCTAGAGGAGTGTACGAGATGGGAAAAACAATGCTCTTGCTATTTTTCCCTTTCAGATCTTTTTTTTTACTTTTTAAAACCAGAATTATAATTTTACGGGATGAAAACGGCACCTTTTTCCTTTGAAAAAAATTCAACGACTCTATAGGATAGCGAAGCTTTTTGTGCAATTCGAGTTTGTGTGAGCTTTAGACTTTGATAGGTACTTGGATTAACTTGTGGCCCCGGCGTTTCCTTTGATGCTTATTGCTTTGCTGGTCTCCAACTAGATGAGATCCGTAAAGACGCGAGGCGTTCTCCAGTCCCCCTCAGTTGAAGATGATATCGAGGTCGTTGCTAACGCCAATGAGTATTTTGAGTTGGTTGGATATGAAGACCAAGGAAGGGCCAAGTCAGACGTTGCTGCCTCGGATACGAGAGCTGGAGAGGTTCCCAAGTCTCAGGACCAATGGGCAGGTGAACAGGAAAGGCTGCGAGTCTCTCACAACGATCAGCAGGGGTCGAAGATTGGGGAGGATAGATGGTGGAAACAACCTTGTCAAGCTTCGCTAGATTTGAAGGAGCCAACCGATTCCTTACGGGAGTCTCTGAAGAAGGTACCTCATATAGGACATCCGCCTTCTGAAGAGCGTGCAGTGCCACCAGAAAGGTGCGTGAAGCAACCACAAGTGGCAGTGCAATACCAAAAATCTTCCAAGAGGCCCTATATATTGCACTATATTCCAGGTGCTGTTGACAGTGGCGCTGGTAACCCTCTAATGACTTCCTCTACCCTTACTTCATCGTTCTCTGAGGGGCTGCGGAAGGATGATGGGTCGCATGGTCTGAATAGTGCGACCATGCCATCTGGGCGTTTCATTGCGAGGGTTGGCAGTCCTTGTACTACGACGAGCGATATCCCCACTCACAGCTCCGACGCCAGACGTCAGCAGGTTCCGTGTTCGCGAATGCAAACCTCTTTACCCGCCCACTCCGCGCCCGCGAGGCCAGCATCTCAAGCGAAAGGGATTCACTCTCATGACAAGGAGGCCTATGCGCTGCCTAGCTCATTATTTCCGCCGACTGGACCCCCTCCGCGGGATGGCAACGACGGCAACACGAATCAGGCCAAAAGGCACACCACCGACTGGCATTTATCGCTCGCCGAGTACGTGGTGTATGGAAAATTAGAGCATCGGGTGTATACCTTGCCCCCGGACGACCGCAACCCGGCAGGCCTCCCTCAACGCCAACGCTGGGTGTTATTAAACCTAACCAAGGACACCACGTTTACGGTAGAATGCACCTTTGAGGATCCGAGGGCGATTACGATGCACACCGGCACCCCTGTGGCGCCCAACGGCGCCTGGGTGGTGACGTTACGTCCAGGGGAGCGTCGTCTCCTCGCGGCGGGCCCCCCCACACGCGTTTCCATCCACCCCCGTTGGGCACAACGCGCGTCGTCGTCGGGGTCGTCGGATGGGCCCCTCCACGATCAAACCGAGGCGGCCCCTCCGCGCGCGCGCGATGCCGCCATCGCCGCCACGGAGCACCTCATGCTCGAGCTGATGAAGGAGCTGCGGTTGCTCTCGATGGGGTTGCGGGAAGCCCGGCCGTCGGCGCTCGCGAGGCGGTGTCGGCTTCACGGCGTCGACTACGTCGATCTCAGCTTCCCGCCTCTGACGGTCTCGTTAGGGGGGTGCGACGGCGCGTTGGGGGTGCGATTTGCGCCCGCAGCGG